AACATAATAAAGGCCATATATGACAAGCCCACAGCCAATATCATCCTCAATGGTGAAAAACTGAAAGCATTTCCACTAAGATCAGGAACAAGACAAGGTTGCCCATTCTCACCACTCTTATTAAACATAGTTTTGGAAGTTTTAGCCACAGCAATCAGAGAAGAAAAGGAAATAAAAGGAATCCAAATCGGAAAAGAAAAAGTAAAGCTCACTGTTTGCAGGTGACATGATACTATACTTAGGGAATCCTAAAGATGCTTCCAGAAAACTACTAGGGCTAATCAATGAATTTGGTAAAGTAGCAGCATACAAAATTAATGCACAGAAAACTCTGGCATTCCTATACACTAATGATGAAAAATCTGAAAGTGAAATCAAGAAAACACTCCCATTTACCACTGCAACCAAAAGAATAAAATATCTAGGAATAAACCTACCTAAGGAGACAAAACACCTGTATGCAGAAAATTGTAAGACGCTGATCAAAGAAATAAAAGATGATACAAATAGATGGAGAGATATACCATGTTCTTGGATGGGAAGAATCAACATTGTGAAAATGACTCTACTACCCAAAGCAATCTACAGATTCAATGCAATCCCTATCAAAGTACCACTGGCATTTTTCACAGAACTAGAACAAAAAATTTCAATGTGTATGGAAACAGGAAAGACCCTGAATAGCCAAAGCAATCTTGAGAACGAAAAACGGAGCTGGAGGAATCAGGCTCCCTGACTTCAGACTATGCTACAAAGCTACAGTAATCAAGACAGTATGGTACTGGCACAGAAACAGAAAGATAGGTCAATGGAACAGGATAGAAAGCCCAGAGATAAACCCATGCACATATGGTTACCTTATCTTTGATAAAGGAGGCAGGAATGTACAGTGGAGAAAGGACAGCCTCTTCAATAAGTGGTGCTGGGAAAACTGGACAGCTACATGTGAAAGTATGAGATGAGACCACTCCCTAACACCATACACAAAAATAAGCTCAAAATGGATTAAAGACCTAAATGTAAGGCCAGAAACTATCAAACTCTTAGAGGAAAACATAGGCAGAACACTCTGTGACATAAATCGCAGCAAGATCCTTTTGGACCCACCTCCTAGAGAAAGGGAAATAAAAACAAAAATAAACAAATTGGACCTAATGAAACTTCAAAGCTTTTACACAGCAAAGGAAACCATAAACAAGAGCAGAAGACAACCCTCAGAATGGGAGAAAATATTTGCAAATGAAGCAACTGACAAAGGATTAATCTCCAAAATTTATAAGCAGCTCATGCAGCTCAATAACAAAAAAACACCCCAATCCAAAAATGGGCAGAAGACCTAAACAGACATTTCTCCAAAGAAGACATACAGACTGCCAACAAACACATGAAAGAATGCTCAACATCATTAATCGTTAGAGAAATGCAAATCAAAACTACAATGAGATATCATCTCACACCAGTCAGAATGGCCATC